GGAAGTCCCCTTTATGTAATGACAAAGTTATTGGCGTATGAACGGGCCCATAGTGAAAATGTAAAAACTGCTCTGTCCATAAAGGGTGTATAGATACGAGAGCTGAAGTGGTTGTGAAGAGGGGACAAAAATCTCTATTGTGACTGTATATGAAGACAAGGAACTCTTCAGTACCTCCAATACAGCAGTATAAGTAGAACAGCCTTGCCTGACAATACCTCTACATGACTTATTGAACACTTCTTTCTCATTTCTGTTTTTTCAGGTTACCTTGTCACCAAAGGCCAAAAACGGCCTACGTGTGAACATCTTGTCCTGTAAGAGAGCAGATCCTACCGAAGCACTGAAGTGTATCCTCCACCCTGACAATCACTAAACATTTCAGGTCCGTTGACAGCCTTTCACTTCTCTGTAGACTTTACAGAGGGAGCAGTACTGTTCTGTTCACACTGTTTAATAAGGCCTACAGTAGAAGGTAGAGTTCATAGCTGGAAAAAATCTTTTCAAAGTTTTTCTTGAAACTGTGTTTATTATAATGCCAGGTTTTAGCCAAACTGACTTTTTACAGTAACCTTAAATGTCAGTCTTCAATAAAAGCAACTAAGATGTATTGGTAAATGTATTTCTATGAGCATGTTCTCTTTCATTCCTGGATATCCATTTTGTGTACATGAACAGTTCTTCACTGTTTGACGAATTGAGACTTTATGCTTTATTGATAAATAAAAATGTTTCTGTTTTAAAAAAATATATATTTTCTGCGATCTAGCTGTATTTTGCTGTAATGTTGCTAATTAACAAGAAGCAAAACCTAACATTTTATTCACCTTTCCTTGTCCTGTTATCAATACAACACTTTTGATAGTCAGCAGCTAGCAGTCAGTGATTCTGGTGTGCCATCTTGTGGCCATGTGCTTGTACTGTACAAAATCTCTAGCAGTTCAGTGATTCTGTCTATGTGCCATCTTGTGGCCAGTGCTTGTACTGTAGAAACTGCTAGCAGTCAGTGATTCTGGTGTGCCATCTTGTGGCCATTTGCTTGTACTACAAAATCTCATGGGTTCTCACTGATATTTGTCTATGGTGTCTTCTAGGCCCAGTGGTCTCCAAACTGGACCCTTTGCTTGCCTTTATCTGGCCCTTGGGGCACTTTTCCTTTCACTGATACAAGACTCTATTCCTCCAACTGACACCAAAAATGGGGCAATAATTTCTGCTACTGATACTAACAACGGGGCACTATTCCTCCCACTGACACCAACGATGGGGCATTATTCCTCCCACTGACACCAACGATGGGGCACTATTCCTCCCACTGACACCAACGATGGGGGCACTATACCTCCCACTGACATCAACCTTGGGGAACTATTCCTCCCACTGACACCAACGATGGGGCACTATACCGTCTGCTGACACCAACAATGGGGCACTATTACTCCCACTGACACCAACAATAGGGCACTATTCCTCCCACTGACACCAATGATAGGGCACTATTCCTCCCACTGACACCAACAATAGGGCACTATTCCTCCCACTGACACCAATGATGGGACACTATTCCTCCCACTGACACCAATGATAGGGCACTATTCTCCCTGCTGACACCAATGATGGGGCACTATTCCTCCCACTGACACCAATGAATGGGGCACTATTCCTCCCACTGACACCAATGATAGGGCACTATTCCTCCCACTGATACCAACGATGGGACACTATTCCTCCCACTGACACCAATGATGGGACACTATTCCTCCCTGACTGACACCAATGATGGGCACTATTCCTCCCACTGACACCAACGATGGGGACACTATTCCTCCCACTGACACCAATGATAGGGACACTATTCCTCCCACTGACACCAACGATAGGGCACTATTCCTCCCACCGACACCAACGATGAGGCACTATACCGTCCGCTGACACCAACAATGGGGCACTATACCTCCCACACCAACAATGACACTATTGCTCCCCTAAATACCAAAGATGAATGGTTTACTCCCACTGGACAATTTCTATTCCCAATGGACACATTCTGGCCCCTGAAGTTTGAAGGACAGTAAACTGTTTGGAGACCCCTGCTCTAGGCTAAAGCTGGCCATATACTAGCAGAATCTTATTTGAAATCTTTCATTTTGGGAATGTTCTTAATCATTCTTGGGGTTATTTTTGAGCGCAGTGAAGAGGAACGGGATGGAAATGTTTTTTTAAATAAATGAAACTAATTTCTAACAGTGAATGTGCTTTTCATTCAGGAAAGTCCATTCATTCCAAAACTGAATGGTAAAAGCAAACACAATTTTGAGTATTTTCGACGAACGATTATATATTGAGAACTTTTGTACGGTGGGAGGTAAAACCACAGACCTGTTTTTACCACAACCAGGCCGCCCATGTGAAAGTGGCCTTAGGTAACAAACTTGAATGTTGTGCTGTGCTGTCTTTTGCATGTTGTGATGATGTTTTGTTGAATAAATTGGATAGCTAGCTGAGCCCACAGATTGTCTACTTATCACAAGAGATGGTAGAAACAAATTTTGCTTTATGTTACAGAATATATAAACAGACTTGGGAGAGTGAAGATAGCAAGTATTTTTTGGCTGTGCTTTTTACTTGTTTGTTCTCCATAAAGCCTGACTGCGTTGTTGGGCAGGGGATATATTAACATTTTTTTTTTCCTGCTATGTGTAATTCCATTAGAGAGAATGTTTGTGTTTGTGTTTTTTTTGCTTTTATAGCAGATTTCATAAAAATTTTCACTCACTTTCTGTTTGATGAAACCGTTGTCGATGTGACAGTAGTTGACGGGAAATCTGATTGCAAAAGATCAGTGATTGATGTCAGAGTTTCTATAAAACTTTATACATCTGGACATGTACACAGAATTCCTTCCTTGAACCTCCCTACTTTGATGTGTTCCTCCCTGGGATGATCTTAATTGCAAATGAGTGGGCAGGTCGGAGGCAAGGTTTCTGTGTGTATGTCTAAAACAATACAGATTCACTGAAACGCTGATATCATCTGTGGACAGCCATTCGTTTGCATTTGATTCTCTATGGGAAGTGTGAAAGAGCTCCACCCCGCCACATGACTCAGGCTTAGGGGTGGCAACTTCTTCTGCTTCCACTGAGCGGCAATCTCTTTAGGGTTACGTTCACACTAGCGTTGTGTGCAGGCGGCAGAGAGGCGTTTGGGAAGCGTTTTTACCGCTCCCCAAACGCCTCTGCCAATTCTGCACATTACAGCACATGGTGCTGTTCTAACGGGAGCGTTTGCGTTACGTCGCGGCAAAACGGACGCCTCTGGTTGAGTCAGGAGGCGTTGAAGCCTCCTATTCTCATCTATGGTGCCGCTCCGCAAATGCCCGGCCAGCGTTTGCAATGCGGTTGTGACGCGTTTTCGGAATGGTAACACCACTCAAACTGCATTACAGGCGTTTGTGGGGCGTTATTAACACTCGGCAAATGCCTAGCAACCGACGCTAAACCGCACATGCGGCGTTTGCGGAGCGTTAAAAAACGCTCCGCAAACGCCGGGCCAACGCTTGCCAAACGCTATAGGGGCGTTTGGCAAGCGTTGGTAAAACAGCCAAGTGTGAACGAGCCCTAACAGAGTAAAAACCTGACAGGGATTCTAACCCTTTCCCACTCCATCCAGTCCCCGATCACACTGGATGCGAATTGGTATGCAATTTACATGCCATGCAACTTGCAAATCGCATACCAAATCGCACCCTATTGTCCGTAATTACAGCGGTCATATCAGTGCGGTTCAGACTTGGTTGGAGCCGCACCAATTCTAAAGTAGTACAGGCACCACTTTTGGTGCGATTTGCATAGAGATCTGTGTCAGATGTCTTGCAAATCGCACCTGAAAATGGCATCTCACCCGACTTTGAAATCGTGCGACTTCACTGTAAGTCGGACGATTTCAAAGTCAGGTTTGGTGTAACCGGGGTGTCAAGTTTACCCTTCAGTAATGCACAGTTGTGCTCCTCTGTACTGAAATTTCTCACTTTGATTTCAGTGCTCAGTGTGAGCTTCATACAGTTTGCATTAGAAGGTTAGACAGAGCCTGCCTCATTTCTTGGCTGGACATCCAACATTATCTAGCTCTATCCTCTTCAGCCTGACTTCTGCCTGGCCCGTCCCTTTCATTCATTGGATTTCAGTTTTTCAATCATGGAGGTTCAGCGTCACATGTGGGAGATACCTAAAGTAATCTGCATGCAAATACAGCCTGCCCAGGAACAGGACTCTTCTAGACTGATACCCATCTATCTAGGAATTTGAATACTTGCCAGTCCACTGCTTCCATCACGACTGAGGGCTTTTGAGAGGAGTACTGAGGCAGGGTGCTGTGGTGTTTTCAGGACACTATGCACAGCACCCTGCTAGCTCCTCCCATCAACCATGATCTGCCTACATTGTGTAGAGAATCATAGAAACCCAGTGATGATATACCTGGGCCTAAAATTAGTTCTGTAATGAAAAAATCCCTCTAGCATGTCATATAAAAATTTTATTAGCATGTTGATGAGAGGAAAAACCAGGAATAGCAGAAAAAACATCAAACATCAGTTGTAAATCATCTTTGTCTCATCTCTTTCCATATATTGATTACAGGGAAGGGAAGGACCATACACATTGCTTTAGGGCCCGTATCAACAGACTTTGGGCTGATGTCAATGGGTGAATGCAGCTTGCTCTTAGATGTACTCCATCTTCATTTGATGTCAGTTTAAAATGCTTCTGAGATGATTCAGAGTTCATCGACGGGTGCATTTGTCCTTCAGATCTCCTTTTGACTTGCATTGCCCTATTTCTAAGCTGCATCAACCTACTTCAAGCTGCTTTTGCATTTTCATTGGCCTCTACAATTGCCAAAATGATTGGTGCTCAACAAGTAAAGAGGGAATGTAAAAATAAGGTCCATTTATGCAAAAACCGGCCTGCTTTGCTATTATTCGTAAGTTCTCCTGCGATTCCTCACTGCAGTTGTTTTTTAATCTGAAACTTCATAGTAATGATATTATCTATGCCTGCCACCATCTCATCATTCTCCCCCACGGCAGCAACTCCCTTCGGTGTCCCCGTCAGTATCAGATCTCCTTCTTCCAAGGTGATTATCCTGCTGATGTAACTGATGAGGAATGGGATGGAGAAGATCATTGAAGAGGTATGTCCTTCCTGTCTGAGGTCATCATTCACCTTCAACCATATCTTCAGATTGTGGGGGTCTTTTATTGTTTCTTTGGAGATGAAATCACTAACAGGGCAAGATGTATCAAAGGCTTTGGCCAAAGTCCATGGAAGACCTTTCTTCTTACACTGGTCCTGAATGTCCCTGGCGGTCATATCCAGGCACAGAGCATAGCCCTCTACATGGTCCATCGCATGTGACTGAGCTATGTTTGTACCTCCTTTACCAATAACAACGCCGAGCTCCACCTCATGGTGCAGGTTATTGGTGTAGTAAGGCAGGAGAACAGGCGCACCTTCCCTCACGTAGGCTGAGGGAGATTTAAGAAATAAAACTGGCTCCGTGGGCACCTCGTTTTTCAGCTCCTTGGCGTGTTCCGCATAATTCCTTCCAACGCAGATAATTTTTCTTCCCCATTCCCAAAACCGGCTCAGATTTCTAGAGGAAGCCATCCTTTGATGATGGAGATGTCTGGAACAAATCACATTTATCAAAGTTTAACAAAACGTCTTTGGTGCTTTTCTCCAGGGATCAGACAACACACAGAAAAGATTACTGCAGTTTTAGTCCTCATGCACACGGGACGTTTTTGCAGCGGCTGATTGTGGCTTTTGACATTTTTTTCTACAACCAGTAAACCCCCCAGCATGTTCTCCTATGTGTCCATCCCCGGCGTGTTATCCTATGTGTCCATCCCCAGCATGTTCTCCTATGTGTCCATCCCCGGCATGTTATCCTGTTGTCCATCTCCGGCATGTTATCCTATGTGTCCATCCCCGGCATGTTATCCTATGTGTCCATCCCCGGCATGTTATCCTGTGTGTCCACCCCCGGCATGTTATCCTGTGTGTCCATCTCCGGCATGTTATCCTATGTGTCCATCCCCGGCGTGTTATCCTGTGTGTCCATCCCCGGCGTGTTATCCTGTGTGTCCATCCCCGGCGTGTTATCCTGTGTGTCCATCCCCGGCGTGTTATCCTGTGTGTCCACCCCCGGCGTGTTATCCTGTGTGTCCACCCCCGGCGTGTTATCCTGTGTGTCCACCCCCGGCGTGTTATCCTGTGTGTCCACCCCCGGCGTGTTATCTTGTGTGTCCGTACACACATAGACTGTAATCAACGTTTTTTGGCAGGGGCGTTTTTTGGCTGGAAAAAACCATCAGAACTAGTGGGTTTCTAGAGGAGTTTTTTTTAGCTGTAAAAATGCTCTACCGCTGAAAAACGCGGTAAATCGCAGCAAACCAGCGTTTTCTGACTTTTTTAAAAAAAATAAAAAATTTGGGGGGGCTAAAAAATGCAAACACAAAAAAATAAAACCGCGGCTAAAAGCTAATATAAAACGCTGAAAAACTTGCATTTTTATAGTGACTTTACATAGCAAATGGGGAAGCACCGCAAACACCCCACAACCGTATTTAATGCACGTGTTGTGGCATGTTTGTCGTCAAAAATAGGATTAAAACAGGCAATGATGAGGCATCACGTCACTTTCTTGCTGCCTGTCAGTAGCCTCTGAAGCGTGATCCAAATGTGGATCGGGCTTCAGAGGAAAGGGAGATTTAAACGCACATCTAAATCTACCCATAAGCCCAACTTAACTTTCAGTTTAAAGTGTTACGAAACCCATACCCCTGCATTCATTATATCTGGTCCCCCACAGTACACACAACATGGAAATGCAATTATTTTAGTAAATTGATAACTACCTTTTCTTATCAGCAGTATATAGCAGTCTTGTGACTGCTATCAGTGTCCAGCAGAGCACTGGTTAAAGCTTGTAGGAGGAGTTTTAATTCTCCTCTGATTGTCCTATGAGGCTGCATAACCCCTGACCCTCTATCTGGACAGCGCTGATTGGCCCTATGCTAATCACATGCACCCTCCCCCAAAAAAACCTCTCTAGCAATACACACTAAGTACCCGGTCACTCCAGGTGCGACTTGCCATGCGATTTGCCATGCTATGGGAGTTACAAATCGCATGGCAAGTCGCACCCTATTGTGCACAATTAAAGTGGTCATATCGGTGCGATTCCGCATGCACTAACTCAGGTGCGACTTGCATAGACATCTGTGTCTTGCAAGCCGCAATGTCTTGCAAGTCGTACCTCAAGTCAGAACAACATCCGACTTTGAAATCGTGCAACTTCACTGGACGTTGCACGATCTCAAAGTCAGATGGTGTGACTGGGGTGTAAAGTGAGCATGTGCAGAGTAGCTCCTAGAGCTCTGTACATTCAGCAGATGGATTAGGGAAAGTAGAAGAAGGGGAGGATCAGAGATGACAGGATCAAACAGCCTTTTTATACACAATTCAGAGGATTAACCCCTTAGCTTCCACAGTGAGTATAACAAGCATGCTTTACTGCATATACAGACTGATTTTACTGTTGTGGGTTTAGTAACACTTTATTATCCACATTCTGAGTTGATCAAAGGATGTGCAAGGCCTCACAGATGTGCAAAGCTTGGCAGCCGCTTGGCACGAGACCCAGAAGCCAGCAGCACCTATTGTAGTAGCAGTAACTACTACAGTGATTTCCAGCTTCCACAGGTATGGCACATACTGTACACTTCACTTCACTGCTCCAGGCTGGACTAATAGAACTATGGAAACATTGCCATACCTGGATGGGCAGCAGAGTGGCTAAATGGTTAGAACTTCCACCTGGCAGTACTAGGGTCATTGGTTCAAATCCCAACCACGGCACCACCTGCCTGCAGTTTGCATGCTCTCCCTGTGCCTGCGTGGGTTTCCTCCGGGTACTCTGGTTTCCTCCCACACTCCAAAAACATGCTGGTAGGTTCATTGGCTCCTTTCTAAATTGTCCCTAGTATGTGTATGTATGAATGTGAGGGACCTTAGATTGTACACCCCTTGAGGGTCAGGAACTGATGTGAATGTAATATATATGTAAAGCGCTGCGTACATTGACAGCGCTATATAAGTACCTGAAATAATAATTCAGCTTTAAACTCAGTTGTAAACATGCATCATCCATACTGAACCTTGCCCTGACACTTCTGTTCTAGGTCAGCATGCAGGACAGTCAGTCCTCTATATGGAAAGTCATACAAGGGTCAGGTCAGGTCACCAGTGTTCTATGCAGCTTGTGTTGACAGCGAAGCTAGCAATCAATATATCATAAAGATCCCCAACAAGACAGAACTCACCTTGCAGTCACATGGAGGAAGAGGAAGTAGAGCAGAGAGAGGGGTAAGGAGCCACCCAGGAGCAGATCTCCTGCCCATACACACAGCTTAACCCGCTGCAGCCAATAAGAGACTCCAAACCGTCAATGACAAGTCAGACATCGGATTCACTTTCTGCCACATTGTATGTCAGAGTGATAGTTATGTAGTTCCACCCCCTTCACATCCTGCACGATGGTACAGCCCGGGGAGGAGTCATCCTCCTACAATGCCGTGTGATGTGTTGGTGTCAGTGATCCCAGTGTAATCAGATTGTGGGGTGGAGTGGCTCCTCCAGATCCATGTCATTCTGTACTCATGTGTACAACATCTCATCTGTATGGTGTTGGTGTAGTTCAGTCCTTACATTGGAGCGTTTTGTGAAACTTTTGTTGATCATTTGAAGTGGATCTAAGGCTCGGTTCACACCTATGCAGGTTGCGTTTGATCTGTTTCTGAAGTGTGTTTTGCGTTGCGTTTTGTACGTGTTTTTGTTGTGTTTTCCGGTTTAAAAAAAAAACGTTGCTGGGCAGGTTTACAACACAAAATGCAGCAAAAATGCACTACATGCTTTTCTGCAGCATTTCCATTGAAGTCTATAGAACCAAAAACGCAACTTTTTGCATGAAAAAAAGTCCCTGAACCTTTCAAAAAACGCACCGGTTGAGAACGCGGAGATGTGAACATGTCCCATAGGAAATCATGTTAAATGGACTGTATTGCGTTTCTGCAAAAGGCTGTGGAAAATGCTTAGGTGTGGACCTGGGGTTAAAGGTTGGGTTGACTAGCCTCCTCTCCTATGTCTCTTACAAATGAATTTTTAAAAAAATAACAGCTTTATTTTTTTTTATTATTGTTATAATATTTATATATTTTTTTCGATTTATTATTTATTTCAGTACTTATATAGCCCTGTCAATTTACGCAGTGCTTTACATATATATTGTACATTTCCATCAGTCCCTAACCCTCAAGGGGTGTACAATCTAAGGTCCCTAACTCACATTCATACATACACATACTAGGGACAGTTAACCTAGCAGCATGTCTTTGGAGTGTGGGAGGAATCTGGAGGAAACCTACGCAGGCACAGGGAGAACATGCAAACTCCAGGCAGGTGGTGCCGTGGTTGGGATTTGAACCAACGTCCCGAGTACTGCCAGGCGGAAGGGCTAACCATTTAGCCACTGTGCTGCCCAATTTAACAGCTTTACTTGTCACTTCTGCAATTTTCACCTAGGCGATAATTTCTCCAACTCCCTTTACATGCTTAGATGAGGCATGGGGCATCCGTGTACACACAGGGTTTCTTGCACATGGGCAAAAACCGCGACCATGGAAGCCTGAAAAGGTTCCTGTCTTTGCACGTGTGCAGTAAGTCACCTGTGCATGCGCAAATGTGCCAGGAACCGAAGGCTGGGCAGAGTCCATGGGTACATCTACGCATGCATAATGGCGCTCAAGGTGGGGGATGAACCAACCTGGGAGGTGCACTTTGCTTCTGGCAAAATCCCGCTTGAAAGTTTCATTTCTTCTGAAAAGGACAGCTATGAGGCCATACATGCTCCAATAAAATATTGATTTCTTTCACAATAGGAATTATATTTCTATTTGATACAAGAGATAACAGCCTTAATTTGGACATGGGATTCCTCACTCATTATCCAACAGTTTTACGACCCTCTCCTTGAGTGTTGTCCCACCCCCTCCAGTCTTTGCTTTTGCTCTCTTATCTCTAGTCTAATCCTAGTTTTATAACCATTCCTGTGTACAATTGTTTGTGTGTGTTTTTTTTTCTGTTTTTTTTCCCCTCAGATTGTTTCTTTTAACATTCTGCTAAAACTTTGGGAAGTAGTACTGCTTGGACCTTGAAGAAGGGGACATATCCCAAAGTTTGTCCTCAAAATTGTATGTTAGTGCAAATAAAAGAAGCATCACAAACAGTACTCAATTGTTTTCCAATAGGACAAATCAATTCGCAGTCAGCAACACAATTGATTTATATGCTACACATAGGGAAGTGGAATTCGGTCGATACTTGAAAGATAACAATTGTAGGTTATCAATCATATCTCGGATTCCATCAAGCAATCTCATAATCTGATTGATCAAAATATGGTCAAATTTCTGACTAAATCACCTCAGTGCTGTCAAATGATACAAAACAATTGAGGAGTTTTCTCCCTGGCTGCTTGAACCAGTTTGATCAAATCCAATCTAAATCAAGTCTAAATTGATCTGATGGGTAGTTATGCTTTTTCA